CGATTTGGGGCGAGGGTTTGTAAAATCGCGAATTGGGTTTGTAAATTCTGGGATTTTCAGCGACTTATACTTGTATGTGTCGCTGAAAATACCTTCAGCGACGCCGTCAACTTACGGCGTCACTGAAAGTACATTTTCAGCGACATCTGCTTGACGGCATCCCTGAAAAGGCACTTTCAGCGACATCGTCAAGATGATGTCGCTGAAAATGGTTTCAGCGACACTGTAGATGTCGCTGAAAATTACTTTCAGCGACATTTACTCTTCGTGTCGCTGAAAACATTATTCAGCGACATTGTCTGATGACAATGTCGCTGAAATTATGTTTTAGGGACATTATTGCTTATACGTCGCTAAAAATGTGTCTCTGAAAGCTTCGTTTCTTGTAGTGACATATTTCCCATAAACCATTTTGAAATCAAGTCATTTTTCAATTGCATACCTTTTAAAGCTTAATTCTTCTGACCATATTCATTCTCTAGAGCTCCCCATGATTCTATGGAATTTTGAGTGAAACAAAAGATTTTATAAATACTATCCGACACAACACTCAAGATATTCTCATGACATAAAATATTTGTTTCTTCAAGATCCTTGTCAATAGTATTTATACTAGATTTAAAGTCACTAGCTTTGGAGGTTTCACAAACATATTTAGAGGTTTAAGAGACTTTCACCTTTTCTTTTTCACAATAAAAAATGATAGGATAAAGGGTAAAGTTGTGAGCTAAAAACTTCATCTGTTGTTGCCAACATTTAAAATTTTGTCCAGTAAAATTTTCAAGTTTGTAGGAATATTTAGACTCATGAAATGAAGTCATGACAATCAATACAATAAACACAAATTTTCAATACGTCTTCTCTAAGATTGTTAGAAAAATAGGGCCAACACAGTAAAACATGACTCTTATTTAACACACAACACACCAGCAAACCAATGAATAGTTAATACTAATTATAAAATAAAGGGTTTTAGTCAGTCTGTATATGGATTTAGGAGGTGCATTGACGAACGCTGTCCTTAGAGAAGATGTGCCTCCAGTTGTTTAGCACTCCACTCGTAGAAGATAAAGAAAGAAAATTTTACGAGGAAATGAGTTTTCTTGTGTGTTTTGTTTTGTACAAAACTCCCTCTTGTATAGTGTTTTAGATAACTAAATATAACAAGTTATATTTGTTAAAACTCACGCTCAACTTGGTAAATCAACTTCCTTATGATAAGAGAGTGATGGAAGACCAAGCCAATTTACTAATTAAAGAAACAGTTAAATAAATGAAATAATTTTAAATGAAAATCTTTAAATTTTCCAAAATTGTGTACCATTTAAATTCATGTATTTGCATTTTAAAATGTTCATGTATGTATTTGAAATAGTATGGGCTGAATTCAGAGTAGTTTGACCAAAGTTTGTCTTTCCTTTGTATTTTTTCAATAAAAAGAATGTAAAGTTTGCTTTAGGAAGAAAACTAAATCTAAATTTTATGCTTTATTCACATTTTTGTGTTTAGAAGGTACATTTTGGAACTTTCATTTAGTTTTGATTAATTGGGTTCAAAATATTGAAAATAGAAAAAATAGTTCACTTTTTCTTCTTGATCATCGATTATCTTTCCGAGTAAAATCGATTTAACTTTTTTGATTTGGACTCTACAAAAAATAAAGGAAGTTCTTAAATCTCCTCATGAACCAATCTTAAACAGGACAAAGAATCATAAACATGATATCATCTTAAATAGAGTTGAAAATAATTAAAACATATATTATTTCAACCGATTTGAGTCCCTACCTCACAGATATGATAACATATTTTAAAAACAAAAAGAATTTATATAATAAATTAGCTCATTTTTAATTATTCAATTGGATTTGAAATGGGTATGATTTTACCACGTATAAATTCTTTTAATATGATAAAAGAATAAAAAAAATGAAATAAAGAGTGAGATTTTTTAAAACACTCCAAGCTCAAGCTACTAGTTAAAATAGCATTTTGCCACCTCGAGAAAAGAAAATTAGAAATATTCCCCCTCTGGTTGTTACTTTTTATGGTTTTGCCCCCACAAATTATCGCCGTCGCCATCGCCATCGCCATCGCCATCGCCATAGCCAGATGCTCTCCGAAAAAAGCCCTTGTTCTTCTCTTCCATCGCCATTGTCACAGTTCAGGTTAGCTCTCGCTGTCGCTGCTGCTGTAGGCAGAACGAGATCCCCTACTGCTGTTATGGTCTAAGGAAACGGTATTATTTACATCCTCCGAAGCTTTGATTTTCAGATGTAACGATGAATCATCTCCTCCTTCTGAATCTCTGCTACTTTCACGGCTCATGATTCTTCTGTCTTCCGATGCGTTGCTGTTTCTAGGGCTCGGAGAAGATCCTCCGTCGCTCGATGAGGAGCTCGCTTTTCTGCCGTGATTTTGCTGCACGTCGTCTTTGAACACCACGCGCTTCGGTTCAGATTCCTTGCCTCCGCTTTTGTTCTTAGGTTTCTGTTGGTAGGTTGAATTGGTTTCTTGTTCTTCGATTTCTTCTTCTTCCTCGTCGTCTGAGGAGTCGGTTTCGTGGTTTCTTGCGCTTGTGAAATTTGCAGATGCGCCGTCTTTGTCCTTCCGGATTTTGCGCGATTCGTCGTCCGACGAGTCGGAAGATTCCGAGGAGGAACCGTCCTCCTCTGGCTCCGCCGGATAGGGGAGGGGACGGAGATTCTCGTCAGGAGTTGTGGAGAGGAAGCTGAGAGCCGTGACGACGTCGCCGATCAGAGGACGGACTTCGGCTTCCTCTTGCAGACACATGGCGGCGACGGCCACGGCCTGATTCAAATCTTTCTCCGGGAACAACCGCCCCAGTTGTGGATCTGCCAGGTCGGGAAATTTCTTCGGATCTCGGAAAAATGGCTGTGCCTGTTACACAGCAGCCATGGATTCAAGAGTACTGAAATGTCTAATTCTGTTGCTATCTTTACTGAAATTGAAAACCAAGAACATAGAACATAGAACTTACCCAAGTAACAAGATTCTGCTCATTATTTGGCTTTGTAGTGTCAATGGCTTTTCTTCCAGTGATGAGTTCAAGCATCACAACTCCAAAGCTGTATATATCCGACTTCAAAGTCAGCTGACCACTTCTTGTGTATTCAGGAGCAGAGTAGCCGTAGGTGCCCATGACCCTTGACGGCAGCGGCGTCTTGTCGCCTCCGGGGCCGAGCTTCGCGAGCCCGAAATCAGAAAGCTTCGGATTGAATTCCTCATCCAGCAAGATGTTTGAGGACTTCAAATCACGAAATATAATGGGAGGATCCGTCTGGTCATGCAGGTACTCCAATCCTTTTGCTACTCCTGATGCTATCTTTATGCGAACAAACCAATCCATTGGCTTCCGTTCGGTTTTTGTGTCTGCCAAATTTTAAAATCATGACATGTTTGTGTGCTTGAGATTTTGGAGAATTGAAGTTTGGGTTGTGAGTGTGAGTTCATACCAAAGAGACAATCTTCCAAAGAACCTCCTGGCATGTATTCATAGACCAAAATCCTTTGATCTCCATCTGCACAATACCCATTGAACTTCACAAGATTTTCGTGGGTTAGAAGGCTCAATGCCTTAACCTCACCAAGAAACTCCTTGTTTCCTTGCAGTCCATTTCTGTCAAGTTGCTTCACAGCCACCACCTTCAAAATTTATGCCCAACAAAACATCTCGATCAAGATTCCATTCTCTTGAGAATATTACCTCACACATACAGGGGAAGGAATTTGAATATACGACTCGGAAAGAGAATTACTCAATCGATGCTTGGATTGGCATCTCTACGAAGAATTGTTAGAAATACGAAGAAATTGAAGGTTGAAAGCAATAGGATTGTTACCTGGCCAGTTGATTGGAGGGTAGCCTTAAAGACTTTCCCAAACCCACCTTCACCCAGAAGACATTCCTGGCGGAAGTTCTTTGTAGCAGTGGCCAACTCTCGAAATGTGAAGGTCTGGGCATCTATTTTCTCACCTTCTGGTGCTTTCTCCTTGATTTCCTCAGCAGGTTTTGGTTTATTATTCACTTCTGGAGCTAAAAAATTTAAAAACAAAAAACAAAAAACAAAACATGGCTGTTTAATTCAACTAAAGTTTAAATTACTCCTTTACCCCCTTTCTTTATTTGTTTTTAGCATGATATTAAATATCCATCAACATATCGACGTTTTCATCAATATTTTCATGTATACATGGATTTTACATCGACATGAGAGATAAATCAACATTTTCATAATATTACAAAAAAAATTAACAAAATATGAAAAATATCAATAAAATCTTAGACATAATATTAATTTTAATTATTTTAAACTCATTTATAAATGATAAAATGATTTAAATAGTTTGTACAAACTTTTTATTTCTGAAACTTTTCCAAAAATATATAGACATTTCATCGTTAGATCTTGTTTATATTGACATAGACATTTAAAACATTGGTTTTTTAGGTTATTTTCTTTTTATTAAAAGTTTTAGTTTCATTTATCTTTTATAGAATTTTTTCCCCTCAAATTAAGTCTTTATCGTCATAAAACACAAGACACGTTTTATTGATTGGGTTGGAAATGAAATTGAGTGGTGCTACTGCTACAAATTTTGTCTACTTTATATAAAATATATAAAAAAAAATAGCGAGTAGAAAAGAATCACATGTATAGCAAAATTAAAATATAAATAAATAAACAATTGGCAACTAAATAAAACTTGTTAGTATTATTACACATTTATTATATAGTTAAGAAATGAAATTTTACCAACTAAAATAAATAAAATGATAAGTGATTGATGTTGACAAGTGATTTATTATATTAATGAATAAGTATCACATAAAACACAAATACGCTCGTTACCAGCGAAACATAAACAATATAGGCATACTTTCGCTGAAATCAGAGGTACAAATCTCGACATACTAGAATTTATTATACTAAAAAGAATTACACCCATTATTAAGTTAATCAACAATTATTCCCCTAAAAGAATCATCAATTTATGACGTTGAAAATTCATTATTTCTAAGAAAATACATATTTCAAATCTTTTTAGAGAAAAAAAAAATAGGTAACCACTCATTTTTTTTAAGCAAGAGATTTGAGGCAATCTCTTCGGACGTGGAAAGGAGTAGATGGGCTGCATCTCACCTCCCTCGCTAACATTAAGGAAGTAAAAAAAGGGAAATAGTGATGTGATAGCACTCAGTTGTTTTTAATCATCAATATAGAAAATGAAGGCATTACAAACAAAAGGTTGATATAGAAGAAAGATTTGTAAATTAGAATAGAAATGGAAAAGAGAAGAACAAACCAGGGGGCTTGGCGGGGGGAGGGGAGCGGTGGGCGGCGGAGGCGGAGGGGCTGTCATGGTTCTTGTCGATCCCTTTCTTGCTCTTCTGCGAGGAGAAGCACGGGAAGCAGCTCATCGTTGCTTTCTAGGTTTTGGTTTGATTCCCTGGATCGGATCGAGAGATGGAGAGAAGGGAAAAAGAAAAGGAATCAGAACAACAACGGTGGTGGAGATGAATCGCGGATCGGAGATGCGATTGCTGTTGTCATGGAGATGGGCCCTCCAAGACTATTGAAGGACCCGGCGAGGAGTGGAGGAGAGGGAGTGAATTGGGGAATGAGGTGGGAGGAAGAAGAAAATTAGAACAATAATAATAATAGAAGACGCCATACAGCAAAATGTTGGGGGAACGGAACGACACAGAAAGAGAGAGAATAGAGGAGTTTTGGGGATGGAGAAATTTGGGGAGATTTGAATGGAAATGTTGAGGCATTCATTTGCCCTCCAAAACCAGAGAAAAACCCGCGATTTCCATAACAACTCTTTTTCTCCTTTTTCCTTTTTCCATTTTCCATTTTCTTAATTCAAATAAATATGGATCCCCCACGCGTGTGGATTGCCTGCGCCTGCCATGTCCTTTCGTAAATATGCAACCTCCTCCACAACTTCTATCCTTCTCTTTCCATATATGTCTCAATTTTATGACTAGTACTACGGCACGGCTAGTGATTGTTTTATACGAGCCGTTGTGTAAGTGCTCGTGCGGAAGTCCCACGCGATCCTATCTTCCATATGAATGTGTTAGGTTTCATGATCTCTTTGTTGTTGAGTTATCTGATTATATTATGCAATGGACAATAATGTCTAGATCGTGTAGATTAACAGTGCGGTGTTATATTATAAGGGGATGTATTTTATTCGATCGCATGATCTAATGTACAGTACCTGCAAGGTGAATGTCCACATGACAAATGATATTTTCTAACTTGAGTATGTCATGTCAGCCAAATAATTCATGACCATGGTGCAATAACCACCAATTTACTTTGGGTTTTCTGTTTTCTAAATTATTATATCTCATTACTTTTGTTATGTTTTATCTAAATCATGTTGAATTTAACCTACTTACTAATTTATCAAATAATCTATAATTTTTTAAATTTGGTTCTAAATATTTTAAATTTATTTTATTTTACCCTTAATATATTAAAAGTTCTCAATTAAAACATTCCATAAAAAAAAAGTGTTAATAGAAATTCTACATGCCACTCAATTATTGTTTTGCAAGACAAATAAATGTCACTTAAACGTCTTTTAAAAGAAATAAAATTTGTTGATGAATAGACACATTAGTTATATTATAATAAATATAAAACACTTTTTTCTTAACAAAATTTAACAATATTTATGAAATGAAATATTGAAACTTTTTTTATACACTTAAGAATTTTAAAAAATTAACAACGGAATTGAGAATTACGTTATCTTTTGAGGTGCTAATCTTGCAATATTTGATCTAAATTATGCTAAATTAAACACCATCCCTTGTTATTAAATAATACCCTAATTCCCACCACTCCTTTGGCATTGTTCATGAAATTTCTCCTTATTCGTTGCTATAATTACCCATTGCTATTCCCTAGAGAAATGTAGAAGTAATAATCAACAATCACCTTGCTGTCCTAAAAATATTATATGAAACAAAGTTCAAAAATATTATATGAAACAAAGTTCAATAATTAAACGAGCCTTCGTATAACAGCTTCCAAACCATTTTCTTCAATCGCTTCATGTATCTTTTTTCAACTCTTTTCATAGTGTAAGAACATAGCTCAACTGGTTATGACATATATCATCGAGTAAAATACCAAACATGTACGCAGTGTGATCAAAATCTGATCATAGGCAGCCCAATAAAAAAACTCCAAATTCATACCAAGGAGCCAGAATTCTTACCTTCTAACAACCAAAGTACATAATATTTCTGATTCAGGTTATAATAAACTAATACTAATCAGCCAAATTACAGGATGCAACCGATGATCTGAATCTCCGTGGGTCATTTCGCAGACTGGCTTCATATTCCACCGATCCAGCAAGCGGGCGAGCTGTTGGTCAGAACACTAAAGGTAATGCAATAGTTAGTACAAATAAGTAACACACCAATATATTACCAAGAGAATTAAGACAACATAATATCCCCACGAAACCAATGAGTTACAAAAGAAGACTCCCAATAGGCAAAAAATATGCAACATTGATACCAAGAAGAAGAATAAAGTTTCATAAGGTCCCAAACTTCTCTATGCTTGATTTGATCTAGATCTCCTAGTAAATTCTTCGATTTCTCTTGATAGAGAGTACTATAGAAAATCAAATACTAAGGTCTAATTGAACTAGTGTCAGTAGATTAATCATCTATACTGTTTCAGAACGATCCAGAAATTTTTTCAAGTGGAAATAACTCAAGCCTACTCAGTAATACTGTCTTACTAATTTTTTTTTTAGTAATGTCTTTTTTTTAGTAATGTCTTTTTTTTATATCCGTGAGTGTTCGGACCAGCTTCATTTTCTTTTCTTTCTTATTTTTGAGAAACGAGCTTCTATTACGCAAAAATGAAAGAAAACAAGAAACAAGCAAAAGAGAATACAAAAAGACAACTCAACAAAAGAAGACTCAAGGCTAACTAAAGGGGCTCCAGTTGAAAATAATAATAAAACCTAGAGGATAAGTACAAAACTCCTTGGAGACCGATGCCCAACTAGAGCATTCAACCTAACAAGCGATCAAACCTCCTCCAATTCTTGTAAGACTTCGAATGACCAACCGTGACAGGAGAGAACAGGAAAAAAAACATATAATAACCTCCTCCGAGAAACCCTCCAGATCCCTAAAAGTTGCAATGTTGCATCATTTATAATATGGGATTTATGAATATCTTGTCCAACTTCATCCATGCCAATACAATAACTTTGTCAATCTGTCTTTGTGGTTAGTCCAGAAATATTAGTAAACACCAGAACAGAAAAAGATAATGTAAACTTGGCATTTTCTACATGGTGATGATGCAATTGAAGTTATGCAGCAAGTGCAGCATTGTTTGTTGAAATTCTCTCTAGAAAAGAGAAAAACAAGGGAAGAATATATTCTGACAAGATTTAATGTATAAGAAAATGGGATAAACTTCAAGGATACTATGGAGGATACACGTGAGGATAAAATTTCTGAAGCCAGATAACTTCATGCTGCAAGGTTGTGTGAATAAAACTTGTTAAAAAACATATGTAACAGAACTCACAGTTAAAGATACTTGGGACGTAATACAAAAGGGACACTTACCACAAGGTAGAAATTTGTTATGTCAAAAAAGTATGCACAATCTGCAGGATAGCTTCTCTCGTCATTTCCAAATTATCAAATTAAAGTTCATCTGGATTTACATATCTGCTGCCGGTGGAGTAATCATCTTCCAATTGGTCATGCCATTCGGTGGGGGTGTACCTATCATTAAATGAATTAAGCATCGAAGACTTTGAACCATGATTATTAGCCGTGCTCCTTTTCCAATTATCACCAGCTCTCGATTTATGGCCATCCTTCATTGCACTTGAACCACCGGCAGATCTGGAGGATGAAGGTGACCTAAAACCATGAAAATTAGAACTGCTAGAAGTTATTTCTCTTGCTTCATGATGCCTGGTTTTCGTTGGCACCTCATCATCTCGATCACTTAGATATCTATTCCGTTTGTGCGACAGGCTAGGACTACTGCTTCGATCTAAGGATCTATAATAGCGACCTTGATCATATTTGTCCTTACCGACACTTTTCCCTTCATCTTCTAGAGAGCCATAGTGCCCATACTGACCTTTTTGTGGCTTATTGGAAGCTGAATATCTGTCATCATAGTAAGACTGCTTCTTGGAATGACTTGAGCTATGTTTGGCTGCTCCATATGTGTCGTTGCTTCCTTTTGTGTATTCATCAGCAATAATATCTCTTTTAATGTTATGCTCAGCTGGTTGTTCATATTTTACCCCTCTCTCTTCAGATCTCTTAACAAAGCACCCAATTCCTCCAGCTTTCATAATTTCCTCCATGTATTCCTCAATAATATCTCTTGTAACCTTCCATGAAAAGTAAAATTAATAAGGTGGAAATATCATCTAACATAAACATGTCTGGCGGCAAAAGTTGAAACCAGACAACATATTGCAGAAACTTGTAAATTGTAATGGATATCATTAATTCCATGGTCCATTTAGCTTTGCAGATTCACCTATTCCATTAGTTTAGACAGAAAGAGATAACAGGAGATCATATCCCCCCTCACCCCCACAACATCCAATATCTAGAATAGTGGCAGAGTAACTCTTGGAATACTCCATTATTGTTCAAATATAGTTGACCGGACTCCCGGAACTCCATTATCTTTGTACATCATAAGCGATAAATCAAAGCAATGAATGCTATTCTTAAAAGTGACTTTCTTCGGCCATTGTTGCTATAATCTTTGTACTTCGGAAGTAATAAAGAATATTCTTAAAAGTGACGACTAATACCCAAAATCTTTTACCACAAAATGTTCTTGACCGTATCAATATCATGCAACTAATAATTTTGTCATTTTTACATTTAAGGTTATAAGAAAAGGAATGCCATGCCGTACCCAGTTAGAACCTAAACCAATAGCCAACAGAGAATAGTGAGACAACAAAAACAATGGACGAAGTATAAAAATCATCCTGCAAGATGATTTTAATGAAAAATAAGGGAGAAGGCAAAAGATTAATCTAATACAAGCTGCTTGCCTACCTGTAAAGTTGATCGCTTTGCCTTTTTTCCACGGTATGACATTCTTCGACGTTTATAATCCCTTTCTTCAGCTAACAATTCCTCCCTTGTTTTGGTCTTCCCTGTACCCTGTTTCGTGTTTTTAATTAAAATAAAATCTATAAGATAGAACAAACAGTCGAGATACATCATGGGTAAGTTGACATTAAACAGTTGGCCAGCTGTTTCTTCTAGATCATTTAGTCAATAAAATAAAATGAAAACAATCATCTCTGAAGCTCCTCAAGAACCTCTACAAAATACGCCCAAGAAATAAGTATAAATAGGCACTGGCTTGATTTGATTCTAAAAAGTAAAAAGAACTAGAGAAAGAATTGGAGGACATTTATCTTCTTTTGCAAATGCCATCCCATTTAGAGAAGTAAATAAGGAAAAATCAGTGGGACTTAAATCACCAACAAATGAATAGAGAAAATTATCAGGCAGGGAAATCCAAGTGGAAGGAAATTGCTGACAATAACATGCCAGAATATATTAACTGCATAATTCATAATGAGACCAACATAGAGGTCAGAAATACCTCATCATGAGCCTGCTGCTTTGGAAGTCCATCATGCTCAATTATAGGCCTATAGTTGCAACGTCTTTTACGCTCTTCACAAGCTCTTTGAGAGATATATTTATGCTCAGAAACCCTAAAAGAGTTAGAAAAGGATTAGTTTGTTTCTAACAATTACCTACTTGAAAAGTGAGATCCCCTTTTCTTTTTATGGAAATTTTTCCGAAAAAATCATGAAGAAAAGTGGTACAAACGTGCATACTAAGTTGAATGAAAGTGGGAGAGAAAAACTCAAATGTCAGAACTTTTCCATAAGATTGCTGGTAGAAGAGGAAGGAAACCCTAATTAATAGAACTCAATATACGGAAGGTGTTATTTATTTATTTATTTTTTATAAGAAACAGACAAAATGAATTCCATTCAAGAGAAGAAACAGCCTAAAGGCAAAGGATTGAGAAAACCCTCTCCAAAGAACTATACAATCACAGCTTTCAAATCCCGTATAATCATTTGAAGACTATAATTACAAAAAACCTCCTTGTGGATGGTAGCCCACCAAGAAGCCGTCTGCTGTATTTTCACACATAGAGAATCCACCGATGACTTCTTATCTTCAAAAAGTCTACTATTTCTTTCTTTCCACAAAAGCCAAAGTAAAGCTCTAACAGCACAATTCCAAAGGATGAAAGCTTTATCCTTTAGAGCCCTTCCCCCAAAACCTTCTGAAATAAAATCATCTATCTTTTGGAGGAGACAAAAAGACACTCCCAAAATGGAAGCGAAGTGAAACCACACTGAGGACGCCACCCCCCGACAATGGAGGAAAAGATGGTCTATAGTTTCAGAATCCTTGCCACACAACATACACACCGATTATATGGGGTTTTTTTTTTTTGCCACACAATATACGGAAGGTGTTATTTTGATTTTGATATCAATTCGGACCATTGAGAGGTTTTTTTTTTCCTTCTTTTATATTTCCTTGTATCTTCCATTTTTTCTAATAAAAATGCGGTTTCTCATAAAAAGAACTCAGACCATTCAAGCAAATGCTGGATTATTTTTGGACTTTCAACTTCAAATTCCAAGACTTATTTCTGTAAACATAAACTGAAGTCCACTTTCTAAAGTTGATAACACACGTCTCAACCATTAACTTGAGATTAAGAAGCCATTGAAATGCTAGGCAACCTAAATCTCCAGTTTTTAACAGTTCTATGGAAGAAACCCAGCTGGGATAGCTAGAAATGATGTCCTTAAAATCTTTAAGGGTTTTTATGAAAAGAAGATCATTGTGATAGGCCAACAATACAGTTCAGTCAATCAATCTAAACCCCAGCACTTCTAAAAATATGAGCGCCTAACTGAAGGATAGAAGTCATCTATTAAATTTTTATCTAATGTAGTGGTAGATGAAAGAGTACAAAAAACTAGAAACGTTTCATCATCAAACTAGACCTCAAAAAAGATTATGATGACTTTGAGATGTACTTGTCCCAAAAGGCTTTGACAACAGAGAAGACATTTGATAGTTAGATGTACTATCAAACTAGACATCTGATAGTTCATTCTTTGTTGTCACAAATATCTGCATAAAGAAGGTAACAGAGATTCTACAGATTCAGGTCAGTTTCTCTGACATTTTAAAATTTGTAGGTGACTTAATTTCAATAATTCAATCAAAACTTTTGTTTCCAAAGGACAAAAAAAAAAAACCTTAAAAAGGCTGCCCTCCATTTCCTCCCATGTAGTTACCTTAATCTGCATTGTGCTGCAAAGATACACTGGACTCTAAAATCTCTTTGGTCATCTTATTTTCACCATCTCTACTATATATATTTCTTTGACATTCGTGAGTGTTTGAGGCAATTGCACGCACCTTGACTAATCTCACAATCAGTGATTTCGAGGCGCACCCGGGCGCTCGCCTCAGGCGAGAGGCGGGGCGTTTTCGCCCA